AGAGAGAGAGAGAGAGAGCAGTGGTGTGCCCAGACTTTTTTTTAACTGGGGTGGCCCAAGTGGGGTATTAACACTAACCCATGAAGAATGTGCCCATGCACAGACAATGAAAAGAGCATTAATTTACCGCTTGTCTATGTATCTACTTCAATTACAATCATTACAGTATCTTACAATTTTTTACATTTAAGGCTTTTGTTGAAAAGATAAATAGTCCTACCAATCACAACACAACAAATGTAACATAAAGCTTTCATGCTTTATTGTTTCATTTGCTTCTGAAGAAACGGTATCCCAAAAACATACATGTGTACATTCAAAATATATATATATATATACAAAATTGTGCAGAAACTTCCAATTTACAATAAAAATCTCCTAGAGAAAATTTGCTACAGTGAAATGCCATTTGAAAACCATTCTGGACAATTAAAACATTTTATGAACAAATTTCCAGTTTAATCACCAAACACTGTTTGAACTAAGGCCCCGCCTCTGACTGAGTAGATAGCCAATCAGAGTTGAGGATAATGCAATGGCCAACCCGGTGTCAGAGGGTAGCCTGTGCCATCCCAGGCCAGCCATTGGATAAACCCGTGATCCAAATCTAATGGCAGTCTCTTAAGTAGTAGTTGTTGAAATATGTCAGTTTTTCTGCATCCGCTCGGGACAGACATCGTCCATATCAATACTGTTGCACCTAGAATTATATTGTTATTAGAGTGGAAAAGGCTACAACACAACATTTAGACAACATTATCAAATGAGGCTAAAATTCTCCACTGAAATCCAGATAAGCTAAGCTAGCTCTTTCATTGGAGTTGATGCAGACTTGAGTCATGCTGCTGTAAGGCCTTCCACATAGTTTGAACACAATCAGCCATAAATCACTCCCTGTTGCACAGATATGGACGTTCCACTGCAGGAGACAGACACATCCAGGCAGTGTGTAGACATACTGTACAACCATATAGTAGAATAGCAGGGTGGATGTCTAGTCTATGTGCTGTGATTCTGTGCTGCAGGGCTCGCTGCGTTGAGAGAGAGGCCTCATCCTCGTCCACCATTCTCCTCTGCTCCTTTCCACACTGCATCTGTTGATTCCCTCTCTCATCCTCCTCCCCTCTCCTTCTCCCCTCGATGCTGCTCTCTCGCTCGCCCCCCCCTTCCTCTTTCATCTTTCTCCTCCGTCCTCCTCTTCCTCATTCTCTCTAGTATCTTCATTATTTTTTGCCCCGATCATTCTTTCCTCTCCATCTCCTCTTCCATCTATCTGTCTACTAATCTTTGGTCTACAGGAGAACATGTATGTGTGTGTGTGTGTGTGTTTGTGTGTGTGTGTGTGTGTGTGTATACCAGTATATGTGTGGGTGGAGGTGGGGGGGGGCAGCTTGAATTTCATTATTCACTCCTGCCAACACACACCACAGAGAATGTAGAGAAAGTCTTTAATACTTACAAAAATAGGGAAACATGCAGATAGTAGGGCAAATAGTTACACCTCAACTGTGAAATGAGTTGATATGTGCATGTCTGTCAGTCTGTCTGACTGTATGCAGACAGACTGACTTCTTACAATGAGCATCAAGGCCTCTGTAGAGCCTCGTCGCGCCCCCTACTGACACATGAAATAAATAGTTTTTCCACCGACAGCAGAGAGACAGATTCCCTGAAGACAAAAGACTGTAGGCGGGGTTTAGAGACTGGGCCATCTGCGTGCTGGGGAGGGCTGCTGTGTGTGTGTGTGTG